ATTTTTTTTTTTTTTTTTTTTTTGCATTTTTTGTGACGTTGGGACTCACATCGAGGTGTGAGAAATGAGAGAGGGAGCCTCTATCAAACCTCTTACCGATTTGGTAGAGAAGCATTTTCCATTATGTTATATTTTGATGTAGTAAGAAAATTTCTTGATCGTAATTAATTACTTAGCATGAAAAATCTATCGATGTCGACCCCACCTGCTTTCCCATTTTGCCCCCGCCTCTGATGTCTCCATCCCTAGATTTTCTTGGTAATTTTATTCAAAATCCAGGGACATTTCCAAACTAATTCAGCCGATCTCACATCTTTATAATCAAATTAGTCCATTTGCTATAAATTCAGAAATACCAGAAACAATTTTCCTAATTGAATAAATATTTAATTTGTTGAATTGTTTAATTATGAGGTCATCGTCGGTTTTCCCGGAGAATTCAACCGCCCCCGCTCCATCGTCGTCGAATTTTCCTCCGTTGCATCTGCCGAAGTCTCCTGCCTGCGCGGCTCACCACCAGAATTTAAGACAAAGGTTAAAATTTGAACGTTTCATCTTAATTTTACTTTTTGTTGATGAAAAGATCTAAAATTTGATTATTTGTGAATTGTGAGTGACTTAGTTATTTATCAGCTGAATTTTTGGGGGTTTCAGTTAGCTTCTGTGCAATCCTAGTTTAATTCCATATTTGATTTAAGGATTCAATTTGCGTTCTTTAATGGGAATTTAGTCGCTTTATTTTTCATTTTCCTTTTTTAGGTTTTTGTGAAGAATTCTGAATAAATTATATGATTTGGTTGTTGTTTAACATGAAATGGATAAATAGAATGTGGTTTGTTCTTATAAATTTAATGATTTTGAGAATTATTGATCGCCTTCAATTCACCGGTGTTCTGTTCTTTGGCTCACCTGATTGTAGTTTTTAAGATGTTTGATTTGAAGGATGTTATAGTAATTTTGTGCAATCATGTGCATTGCACGCACAAATTTGAATTTTAGTTTGATGGCAGAGGTTGAGGTATAGCAGCAGTAGATAAACTATTTTTGTGTTCATAAATGACAACGTTTTTGGATTTGGTGACTTTTTTACACGTTTAAAATGTTGGCTAGCTTAGATTTTCTCATGATTTTTTCTGGATTTGAAGACTTAATTGTTTTGCATTCTTCTTCTTCTTCTTCTTCTTCTTCTTCTTCTTCTTCTTCTTCTTCTTCTTCTTCTTCTTTTTTTCATGGGTAAGCTTATACCAGCCTTTTAACCACCATGTACGAATGCACTAAAGCTTTAACTAGTCTCCTTTCATCGTTTATGCTATTTTTTGTGCTTTTGTTGCTGTAAATGTGTCTTATACGGGCTCCCTGTCGGTATATAATTTTAAACATAAAAGAATATAACTACTTTGGACTTATGCCTCACTGTGAACTTAACATCTTTTGGTTGTATGAAAATTTTGACCTTCTTGAAGCAATATAATATTTTGATTTTTAGGGGCTAAAGTAAAATGATCTTATCTATACTTCACTGTCTAGGCCTTAATTGCTGTTTATGTAGTCTAGTCTGTTGCTTATGTGCTATTGATTTTGCTCTATCCATTTGCTTCATATTTATTATTTTCTTTACTAGATATTTATGATTTATCTTTCACGTTGGAGAGTCCAAACTTTAACAACTCTTCATTTTTTTGTGTGGAAATTTGCTGATTTGGTTTGATATGCTACGTGCCACTTGTAGTAATGTATTTCACATGTTAGCTCGGAGGGAGGTATGTCCACGAACTAAGCGATGTTCCAAAAGGTTTTGGGGTGAGGCTTCAATTCACGGTTGTAAATCCTCTGGATTAAAACACGAATCAGCAAAAGATGCGAGACAAGAGCTTTTTTCATGGTATCTGTCTTGTTCTCTGTGCTATTTTGTAATTTGTGAATGGCCATTTTGTCTCCACGCTAACTGATGTCTTGAATCTTTTATTTGATATATATCAGGGTGGAGGCAGAGTCATTGCTACATTTAGCGGCCAAATATTGCCCTCTCTTACCTTCCCCCAGGTCTACCATTGCAGCAGCCTTCAGTCCTGATGGGAGGACACTTGCTTCTACCCAGTAAGTCTTATCTCTCTCTATTTTGCACCTGCATAAGCTAATTCATTTTGTTGGATACTGATTTGTTGATTTCAGTTGGATGCTCATGAAGTTTATCCCATTTTTATATTTTGGCAGTGGAGACCATACTGTAAAGATAATTGACTACCAAACTGGAAAATGCTTGAAAGTGTTGAACGGTCATCGGAGGACACCTTGGGTGGTATGGCTGTCTTCTAGAATCTTTTATATCATTTTTGGTAATTTATTTAAGTAATGAAATGCTACAATACACAATTGGGTAGTAATTTTATGGTAGCATGTTTTGACTTTTATCAACGAAGAAATAAAGAGAAAGTGGGTGGAGGAGGAGAATAGCTTAAGCTATAATATAGCAAGGCAAGTCTGAAGTGGATGTTTACTATATATATAGAAAGGCATGCTCATTTTTTTTAGGCAAGATAGCAACACGCCCATCGATGTATACAAATACATTTGAAGTTTCACCATCCTAATAAATTCTTAATCCTTACCATTCATTCTTGTAGAAAATATATTTGCTATAGAGAACGTGTCATGTGATGTCAGGCCTCTGCTAATATTGTGTGATCTGCTTCTGGCAATAGATATTGTATTTATAATTTAATTATGTAATAGTTTTTGTTGCACTGTTTTTTAAGCTCAAATTGTTAATGTTTTCTGAGTACCATTTTTTCTTGGTTATTCTACCATGTTTATGGAACTTCTGCAGGTTAGGTTCCACCCACTGTATCCCGAAGTTCTTGCAAGTGGAAGTTTAGACCATGAAGTTCGCTTGTGGGATTCAAAAACTGCAGAGTGTATAGGATCGCGTGATTTTTGTAATATCTTCTAATATTCAGAGTTTCGGCAGTAATTATCTACCTATGTTGTCAGTTCAAATTCCTTAATGTGGCTATGCTGAATTTTTGTTCTCGCAGACCGTCCTATAGCTTCTATTGCCTTTCATGCACAAGGGGAAATTTTAGCTGTAGCTGCGGGCCACAAGGTTAGAAATTTCGAACATTATATTACTGTTAGTTTAAATTTGGATGGGTGTCACTGTTGTTGACCTTGTGATATGTGGCAGCTCTACATGTGGCACTACAACAGGAGAGGAGAGGCTTCCTCACCGACAATTATCCTTAAGACACGCCGTTCACTCCGTGCTGTGCATTTCCACCCACATGCTGCACCATTTCTTCTAACTGCTGAGGTATGGCTTGTGGTGTTGCTAAATATATATTTTTTTCTGTGCATGAGTTTGATCGTGTTTCTCTTTGCAGGTCAATGATCTTGACTCATCAGACCCTTCAATGATGCTTGCAACTTCCCCTGGGTACTTGCGCTACCCTCCTCCAACCATATATTTGGCAGATACACACTCGGATTATCGATCTAGCCTGGTAAATGACCTGCCCATCATGTCTATGCCATTTATAATGTGGCCTTCAATTGGCCGAGCTGATGGGAGATTACCTACTCAGCAGAGTGACGTTGGCACAATCTCTAGTGTTTCACAACAAAGGGTGGATTACTCTGTGAGACTTCTCACATATTCAACTCCATCTGGACAGTATGAACTAGTGTTGTCTCCAATTGAATCTAGTAGTTATCCTGTGCAAGAACAGTCACAAACTAATTCTGCAACAGCAGAAATAGGAAACACTGTTTCTCATCCTGCCATGGATCCAATGGAAATAGATGTGCAACCTGAAGACAGAAGCAATCAATATTTTCCTTTCCGTGATCCAGCATACTTGGAACTCCCCTTCTTGCAAGGGTGGTTGATTGGTCAAAGCCAAGCCGGCCAACGTGCAATGCATGCACAAGATGGAGGTTCTGCTGAAGGTTTGTCTGCTTATGGTGAAATAAGGAATCCATCGTCCATGGTTCCCCCAGTTATTGCAAATACTGTTAATAATCCAAGGGGTTCTGAAAGATCTGGTTCACAGCACCGATCTTCACACTCTGTTACAATGGCAAATCGTCCTGGAAATGGTGCTACTCTTAGCAGTATTCGGCAGGAGCTAAACAGTTCTCAACCTTTTGTGAACCAAGTCCAATCTGAAGTAGCCACATCACTGCCTGTAGGTTCATCTGCTGAATTACCTTGCACTGTGAAGCTAAGAATATGGTCTCATGATGTGAGAAATCCTTGCGCATCTCTTGATACAGAAAGATGTCGCTTAACAATTCCCCATGCTGTGCTTTGTAGGTGTGTAAATTATTTCCTGTTTGTCCTTCAGATCATTGTTGCTTATTTTTCTGAAGCAATTGACAGTGAGTTTAAGAGTGAAAAAAAAAAAAGAAGAAGAAAAGAAAAGAAAAGTAGATTCATTTTGCTTTTGAGAAAGTGGTTAATGAATCTCACTGTTATGTGAAGTTTCCACAGTTCGCAAGCTAAATCCCTCCAAAATTTCAATTCTCTCTCTCTCACACACACAAACACGCGCGCGTGCTTGCACTGACTCTTCCAAATACTTACAAACAAAACCAGCAAGGCTAAAAAAATTGGAAAAGAGAAAAAAGCCTTCTTCCCAGTCAATTAGGTGTCGACTACCATTATGTTTGGTTCATTTCTATGTCTGCCAATTTCTTATATGCAAGATGTATTTTCCAGTGAAATGGGTGCACATTTTTCACCATGTGGAAGATTTTTAGCAGTCTGTGTGGCATGTATCCTGCCAAACATGGAAGCTGATCCAGGTTTCCAAGGACATGGTGAGCATGATGTTGGAGCAGCCTCGACATCTCCAACTAGACATCCCATTTCTGCTCACCAAGTTATGTATGAGTTAAGGATATATTCTCTTGAGGAGGCTACGTAAGTTCCAAACTTCTAATATACTGCCAGTATGTTCCATGTTAACTCCATTCTGATTGTATTTATCACTTTGAACTGATAATGTTTGGATTGTGTAGATTTGGATTGGTTCTAGCCTCACGGGCTATCAGAGCTGCTCACTGTTTAACTTCAATACAGGTTAGATTTATTATTGATTAGGGCCTGAACACCAATGTGATTTCAAAATCATGTGCTGAGCTATAATAAGAGAAGTTTTATATGATTGGATGATGGTAGCTATCCGTGTTCTCTGTTAAATGCAGGATGATTTTTGCTTACCCTTTTGGATGTATTTATAATTGCAGTTCTCCCCTACATCGGAGCACTTGTTACTTGCGTATGGACGTCGTCATAGTTCACTTCTTAAAAGTGTCGTGGTTGATGGAGATACAACAGTACCCATTTACACCATTCTGGAGGTGAGATAGCAGATATCTCTAATATGCTGCTTTACTGTGCATATTATCTCTCTATTCCTGTATGTCTGTATAGAGGGACTCTTGTACACATTTTGTTTATTCTATATTATTATTAACTTGGATTTGAAAATTTAGCACTGAACCCACATCTATGATATGATTTTCTTTTGATTCTAGCAGAATGCTAAGCCTCCATTTGGGAAGAATTTATGAACAGTTTAATTTGTAAACAGATAGAAATGAGTTGTTGGATAAGTAGATATTACTTGTGGGTCTATAGAAATGTGTGTTTGAAATTGCATTAGTTCATGCATCATGACAAGAATTCTCTCTCTCTAAATAAAATAGGTGTATAGGAAATAAAATGTGTGTTTGAAATTGCATTAGTTCATGCATCATGACAAGAATTCTCTCTCTCTAAATAATATAGGTGTATAGGAAAGAAAAAATTAAGTTTGACCATTTATAAATGATATATAAATTAGCCAAGTGCTCTGTAAAATAGAAAACATGTTTGTTAAACGATCATTTGGAAGTTAGAATAGTTCACCTTGCTATTAAAACTTAATAGAAGGCTGTGTGGTTTTCTTCTTAACAAACATGGGAACTGATACGAGACACGACATCTTATGTCAATAGGACATTTAACACTCCCCATCAATTTGGGGTGTTAGATACTGTCCATTCCCATCTTGCTTGTGATAATTTGGAATGCTCAACTTTGAAGCCCTTTAACCAAGATATCTGTCCATTGTCCATCCATTGAACAGAGGCAGTGTATATCAAGCCACTATCAAACTTTTCTTCGATGAATTGTATGTCAACTACCACATAGTTTGTACCATCTTGCTGGGTACAATTGTATGCAATATTAATAGCTGACACATTTTCATAATACAACTTCATTTTTCCTTCTCGTTTGACTTCAAAATTATCAAGAATAATCCTTACAAGGAAGGTCACATATTCCAAGTAATCAAGCTTCCTCTCAGGTATATCCTAATTACTATGTCCTGATTTTGATATTCTATCCACGACTGACCCCTTCGTCTGCTTCAGTGTACGCTTCCAATCTTAACTTTATACTCTATTTAAACAAAATACCCATTGTAAGGTTGAATTCCAAGTATCGATGAACTCAGCTAAGTGCTATAAGATGACTTTCTTGTGGGGAATGCATATACCGATTTTTGAGTTATGACACACGCTCTGCAGGCTATATCCAGTGTGCTATGGGATAAGTAAATCAGTTTTTCAAATAGCCTTCAATACATATTTCAACTACCTACTCAACGTCACAAGTAAACAATTGTGTTAAATGGGATTGACAATTAGCCTACATTTTGGCATATGTGAAATCAAGAACATATATCTACTACGATACAAAAATACTGCTCTTTGAATGAGCTCCAAGAAGTACGCTCTGCCAAGATCTTCTGTTTCAAATTCTACAACTAGGTGTTCTTGAGCCATTATTTTACAACTTAATCATCTTTAGCAACATCTTTAGCAACAGTCATGTCATCCGCATAGAACAATAATCTTTGTTGAAGTTAAATGCTTACCTAAGAGCATGATATCATTGACCATGTAGATACTTCATCCCACATGAGCTCTAGGAGATTACTTGAGACCATTCATGCCTTTTTTTAGCCTGCGCACACAGTTACCAAAAATCTCCTTAAATCTTGGTGGATCTTCCATTTAACTTCCTCCTCAAAAAACAAACATGGAAAAACATGTCCTTCAGCATGAAATTGTTAAAAGGACCAACTATAGTAGCCAAGATAAAGAGAGATGAAACAAATTCATGTCTGTTGGTGGAGCAAAACTTTCTAGCTTAACAAATCCATAGTTCCTATTTGCTACTAACCTTTCCTTTTATTTCCCTTGGGCCTCATGTTTTGTATTTCACTGGGAATACCCATTTACATCCAACTGGCCTTTTTCCATTCGGAAGTCTTCAACATATTATATTTGATTCTTTTCAAGTGCTTTCAATTTCCTTACTTCCGGTGCATGTAGAATACATTTTACAAGAAGAAAAAATCCAGTACCTATCATGGAAACTTGTTTCTATGGATGTTCCCTTCTTAAATATACTTGCAGTGGCATTGGAGAGAATTGTATTATGGATGCTACCAACAGTGTAGTTGGCAACAAGAACACGGGAAGGAAAAGATATGTGTTTCTATAAATTGGTAGCAGAAAAAGCTAGAAATTTTAGGCATTTGTGCAATTTAGAATTATGATAATAAGAGCATCTCCAAAAGGCTTTCTATTTATAAAGAGCATCTTATGTGTAATACAGAATATCTTTAAATTTAGAGTGAAAATATTTTATATAATCTAACAATGCTCTCTATTTTGACTTTTCATCTTGCTTTCTTCAAGAAGCATTCATTAATTTCTCCTCATCTTTTATTTGACACACACACATATATATGTCAATGGCCAATCAAGTCATATTGTTTGAATAATTTAACAAATGGAAGATTGAAATATGTAACTTATTAAATGCAATCATTAAAAAAGAAGAATACAGAGTGAGCTTGGCTCTCCAAATTACTCACTTTCTATTTTAAAAAGTTAAAATAGAGAGTCTCTTGAAGCTTAGTTTTAAGCATTGACTCTCTCAAATAGAAGTATCTTGTATTCAAATAGTCTCTTGAAGATCTCTAATGAAAAGTTGGGTTCCTCCATGCTATACATCAGAGTAAGAATAATAAGACATGCATTGATCTCAATATTGCTTATTGTGTTGCCATTGAAGGACTGAGATTTGTGTAGCAAGATGGGTTACACCTTATGATGTGTGATGGTAAGACTTCGTTTGTACCAATTGCGTGATCCCTCAGGAGACTGAACTCAACAATATTCTCACCAGAAATTGTTACCGGCTTCTTCAAGTGTTGGTTATCTATATATTCTTCTTCTGCAATCCTTTTGTTTTGGGATATGGAGATACTTGAAGTATACACCGAATTAGATTACACTTAAATAACCTCTGAAGCTATTATTATTATTATCATCATCATCATCATCATCATCATTATCTATCCATGTCTTGATTACTTCTCTCAAGTCTCAAAGTTTGTTTTGATCTCACAGATTTACAGAGTTTCTGATATGGAACTTGTGAGAGTACTTCCCAGTGCAGAGGATGAGGTCAATGTTGCTTGCTTTCATCCTTCAGCTGGGGGTGGCCTTGTATATGGAACCAAGGTAAACAACAAAATCATGTGAAGAATCTCTTTAGTTTGATCTTGTACTCTAACCACGGGTTTCTTCTAAACATTGCAGGAAGGAAAGCTGAGGATTCTTCGTTGGCATCTTTCTCATAGCTTTAATCGGGAGGGATCCTGTTTTCCTGATGAAAACATGTTTGAGGTACATTTATTTGTCATTCGCTTCTTTTTTGTCATTCAAGCTCTTCTTACATTATGTTGTTGGCGAATTCACTTCTAAGCCAAATCGAATTAATTATTTGTGCTTGCAAGAAGCTCACAGAATATGTTAGTCATGTATACCTCCGATCAGTGCAGAACATCCCGTGTGTTGCAAAGTGAGGATGCAATATCTACTAGTCTACTATAATATATTTAGTGACTGATAATCAAGCAGTTTTTCCCTTGTCAAAAGAATCTTTCTTTATCTAGGTGCATAATTTTAGTGAAACATCTTTGTTCTTTTAATATGCCAGACATAACTTCTAATCTCTGGCCACTGGAGATATCTTCTCTCTTATTGCGTTACAAGATAAGCTTTGCTTATATATTTCAGATTTACCTGTCTGAAACTCCATTGAAAAATAGATATTGCTCCTTTATTTTTTATCTAAATTTAACTCGACCTGAGAAATGGTTGGGAGTTGATAAACCATTTGACTGTTTTAACTTTTCGAGATACTGCTTGCCTCTTGAACATAGTTAGCAAATAACAATCTGGTTCCACCATGTTTTTAATCCACTGTCCAGTAACTTACATGCACCAACATCCAACATTCTTTCTTACAAGTTCATCTGCAAGACGTCCTTTGCCTGATGCACCCACTGTAATTCTGACTATTCTTAATATTGCACGGTGAATGATCATTTTATTGACTGTTGATTGTGATTAAAGTTTTTCCAGTTCTATATTGCATTTAAATTTTATTAACAATTAGCTAATTTATTGAAGGTTCCTACTTACGCGTTGGAAGGCTGATTGTCATTGATTAAAGGAGCTTGATCATGGTTTGTTTTTCTCCCAGATTTAGATGCCTTTTGAGGTCTTTTATCGGTGTCATTACAATATTTAAAAATTCATATTTCGTGAATGTTTATGGATCGGATTTTGTTATGTTAATTGTGTAATTGATTTCCTTGGTTCGCCGTGCTGTGCTGGTAACCAGCTGGCTCAATGATAGATCGGTTTCTTTGGGTTCAATCCTCACTGAAAGGGTGTCTTTAATTATCAGGGAATTTAGATGTACAGGATTCAATAGCAAGTAAGATTAAAGGAAGATGTTACAACACTGAGAGATTTCATAGGGAGCATGGGTGCTCTCCTCACAGGCAATAGTGTCCATGTTGCACAGGTGTCATACATGTGTTAAAATACTCGGGTCACTTAATTTTTATTTTTTATTATTTTTAGATGTGCTGAAGGACATATTTGAGATCAATATGTAGATTTGAAACAATAAAAATTTTAAATTTTAATAGAATTTTTTTTTTTTTTTTAAGTTCATTGGATGACTAAAATTAAAAAATAATTAAAATAGACTAGAAAGATAGGAAAATTGAATACTATGTCGATACTGTTGGGTTCCTCCATTTATTTAGACGTGACAGTTTGTTCCTAGTTGTCACTAGCAATTGATTTGTGGAGGTATATGAGAAGATGAGAGGGGTTTGTTAGAATATAGGTTTAAATTAAAATAATTATTCAATCCGTGAATACTGAAGCTTTCTGTATGTATATTTTGTGTATACCTAAAATGTCTACCAAATGTTCCGAGTCCTCTGGTCCTGTCCATGTGGATGGTAGACATTAAAATTGGGGATATCTTCAGTTTAAGAGATCAAAGATTCATCCATAAATTCATCTAGTTTTTCACACTTCCATACTTACTGTCTAGTTGTTATATTCGATAGAGTTGCACTTGTTTCACTGAAGTCATGAATTCATTGGAATATTTTTCTGCAGCGCGTAAAATTGCACATCAATTGAGAAATGACTTAGCTGGCATCCATGGATTGGAATTTATGTCCACGAGGCAGTGAACTCAAGATGTACTGATGCTTGAGAAAAGGATCCTGCAAATACAAAAAAGTGAGGTGTACAGACTAACATTTTTACTTGGAAAGAAGTCGTGGCTGCTCAGACTCATGAAATTTGAGAAGCAAAATTCTGCCTGTTTCATACATCTTATGTAATCTTAGATTTGTTTACTGCATAAAGATATTCGAGGAATTGAATATACAACCTAATTTAACAAGAGAACAGACTGGACTCGAGATCAAAGTTGAGATGTGTGATTTTGTTTGTCATGACTTATCTCCTTCTGGCAAAAAATAGCCAGAAGTCAAATATTTGATCCAGAATGCAAGGCCAGCGAAATTTACATCATTGATGATTACTTGGATGGACTAGACTGGGATTGCTCCTGGCTTGGCTTGCAAAAGAACTTATGGATGGTTGATTGTGAGGTAACCCTGAAAAAACTAGTAAAATAGTGCGCTGGCCAACCCGTTATGTGGATCTTCAACTTGGAAGACTGTAGTATCAAGTCAGTTCTTACATTAAGGTATGTCTGCAGAGGATTGAACAACATTTGGTTAGTTCCTGAAAATTATACTAGTTCTTGTGGTTCTTGTTTGACATTTACATTATCAGCATTTATTGCTTCTTCTTCTTTTAAAATGGTGTTAGGAATTGAATTTGTTTGCATAATGAAAGATGTTTCTTCAGGTCAGTTTCCTGAACAAAAGGGATTTGTATGTGTTTTAATGACGATGTTTATAAGTACTTCTGGTGTGAGTGGAAATTTTGTGACTGGTAGGAAATTATCAGTGACCCCTGGTGGTCCTATGAGTCTCGATTTGTGCACAAAATTGAAGAACAAATGGCTCTTGAAGGACTATAGTTCTGGAACAAAAGATCAAACAGCTCAATTCTTGTGGTGACACAGCAATTTTGTGTGGGGTGGCAGCCCGGTCGGGTCCTATGTAGAGTTTGGAGACACATTTGATGTTTCCTAACAAACAGGTTATGTAAATCCAATTGTGTTAAAAATTAAACTCGAAGTTGTAAAGCTAACGAGATGAAAGTGTTGCTGCACAGGAGTGTCCTCCTCGAGCTACTTGGGCAGAGAACTCGTCTGTCCTGTCCTTCAGCATGGCGGTTTTAGGGGTATATACTTATAGATTGAAAACTGTAATCTTGAGGGTAATGTAGATTTTTTTGGGAAAAGATTTGGTCAAAATGATTTTTTTTTTTTTTTTGGATAATGTATGGTTAAAAGTAAGAAAAAGTTGTGGGTCAATGTGATTTATTATTATTATTATTATTATAGATTGTGTGATTGAAATAAATTTGGGGGAAAAAATGAGCTTGAAAGAATCTGGTATCAAATAGGAGTTAAGCAAGAATCAAGAATAATGTTATGAGCCCATTTGATTGGATTTTTAAAAATTCAAAAGTTGTTTTTGAATCTAAGAAGTTTTTGAATATGTTTAGATAATTTTTTAAAGTGTTTTGTTTGGTTAGAAGAGTTTTTAAAGAAAGTTGGTTTAGGATAGTTTTTTAGAAAGTACTTTTATGAAAAGTAGAAGTAAAATTAAGTCTTGTCAATTGATCTTATAACCCTAGTGGTGTATTCGCAATTTAGTGATGATAAATTGTTGTTATGTGCTAAGATCGACTTTAAGAATGCTTTTGTGGGCTATTTAATTTTAGTTAAAATTGTTTTAATAAAAATAGGTTGCTTATTTTAAAATAAAAGGGCAATTTGTATTTTTTATAGCATGCAATTTACCCTTTGTAATATTCAGTGGTTTATAAAGCGTAAAATGTGAATTCAAACCTCAAGTCTTACGAGCTAACGTGAAGTTTAAATTTTTAAGCATGATAAAGTGCTTTGTATTATAATATTTAAGCCTCATTCTTGTATAAATAAAAATAATAATAATAATAAAATTGAATAGTGTATTGATGAAAAATATGGTTAAAAAATAAAGAAAATTTTTGAATTCACGTGTAATATTATTTTAATGAAAAATGTGTGGTTGAAATGGGTCAAATAATTGTTGAAGAATGTATTTTGATGAAAATAATGGGGCTCAAACAAGGGTTTGAATTATTGTAGGTCAATTAAAAAATAAAATAATGCATACCTTAAAAATTTATTCAAATTTTATACATATTTTTCAAGTTTTAAACAATGCTTAATTATCAAAATCACAAATATTCCAAATTAATAATATCTTTTTTGTGGTGGTTAGGGTGTGTTTTTTGTTAGACTTATTCCAAATTATTATTATTTTTAAGTTTTAGCAATAAGTACCCATTTTATTGGGTTGGACTTCAAAACAAGCAAAAATCACTTGAAGAAAAAATAAGGAGCATGCCTGCCTTTTTCTACCTAGAGGCGCCTTAAAGGGTTAATGTAGAATTGACTGTCAACATTCTCATTTAGGTGCAAGGCGAGACGTTTTCTTCGAGCTTGAGCCTAGGTGGGCCCTTAGAAATCAACATTCTTATCTAGGTGCAAGGCGAGACGTTTTGCTCAAGCTTGAGTCTAGGTGGGGCCTTAGAAATACTTGTAACCATTGCTCTAAAAAGTTCGCCAGAATCATCCACACACGAAACTTGATCTTATTTTCTAGTTACGCTTCACGAATTTTAGAACTATTATAATAACTTATAAGATGTCAACCTGCTCATTCAAATCCTAGATCCCAATGGACAATTATAGTCCAGGATATGATCAATTTCGTTAAAGGGCTCAGCACTATCGTGTCAAACGAATTGAAGAACTCATTTTGATTTATAAACTGAACTTCGAACCGAAAATAGATGCAGAATTTTAGAAGGGAAATTTCATGAGTTAAAGTTGAATTATTTATGCAAAGAGGAAAATTATATTTATAACCTTTGGACATGATCATTCGATCCGAAGTCGTGACTTTTCAAAATGTATGAGATTTTTATATTATGTCCTTGTTTGAGTTACATTTTTTAGGTAGTTTTTGTTAAAAGTAATTTTTCTAAAGAATCTATCATTAAAAGTAGAGAATAATTTTAAGCTTATATGTAAAATTATTTTTGTTAGAATTTGGGTGTGATCTAAATTCTTTGTTAAAAATAATTGAGAGTTCTAAGTAAAGTGCACATTAAAAATCATTCTATTTGGAATACTTTTAAAATTCTATTCGAAACTTATTGGACAAATTATAGTTGAAATTCTATTTAGAAACCTTATTGGAATTTGGGATTTGTGTTGGACCTAAGATCAAGATAAGGAAATTTTTGGACATTCTATTTAATTTACAACTCTATTTCTAGGACTTGGATTGTTCCCTATGTATCTTTGGCTCTTCTCTACAATTTAGTTAGGTTGTTTAACATTATTATAAGTTTAACAAATTATAAATACAAAATCATTGCATTCTTTGTTCGTATCATAATAAAATCTCCATTCTCCTCAAATTATTTTATTCATGTGTTTTTGTGATCAATTACTTCATATTGTAGCTATAATCTCTTATTTTCCCCAACAACTTGGTGTTGGATTAATCCAATATCATCTTCTGCTTTTCGCAACAAACTAGTTTTAGATCTGGTCCGAATTATAGCAAGTGGTATTAGAGCTATTCCGTTTTAAATAAATTGATTTTAGATCTGGTCCGGATTATAACAAGTGGCATTATAGCTTTTGATTTTGAAATTCTTGAAAAGATCGAGATATTTCGTGATGTCAACCATGAAGTTTAATGTTCCACTATTTGATCACAATTCAAGATTTTCGTTGTAGCAGATTAGGAGGCGACTAGTGGTCACTTTTATGCTTCATATTTGTTGTTTAAAGACACGATCTTATATGGTCGTGATCTCACTATTGAAGAAGCCTATGATGCTCTATTTCAAAAGAAAAGATGAAATATATTGTTGAGGTTCATGAAGATGGCCGAGTTCTTGATGATGGTTGGGCAACGGGCAACTTAATGTTTAACTTCCAAATTCATTGCAAGAATTCAATACATTTAATTAAGAATTGCTATGAGTTTTGTAATAGATAAAATTTGGCTGCAGTTTTTCAGAAGGGAAATCAAATATATACTTCAGGTGAAGCTATTATTGAAACTTTTCACAATGATGGAGAGTTTCTACTTATGTTTGAGTAAAATCCAGTCCTGGGGAGGCTTGAATTTTGGATACAGCTTGCACTTTTCAAATGTCCCTCAATCGGGAATTGTTTTTAACATATGAAGAAGTTACAAAAGGTGTTGTATGATCAGTAATATTACACTTTGTCGAATAGTAGGTATTGGTCAAGTCAGAATAAAGATATTTGATGGGACGATTAGAACACTTGATGTAATGAGACACATTCCAGATCTGAAAAGAAATAATATCTACTTAAATACTCTTGATTTAAAAAGATACAAGTACACTATTGAAAGTGGAGTCCTGAACGTTAGTAAAGGAGCTTGTGTTTTAATAAAAGGACATAGAAAACCTCGTTTATATATCTTATAGTGTGATACAGAATTTTTGAGTAATCAACATATTTTAATAACTCAGGTAGATTTAGAATTGGCTTCTATACCATTGGAATCTTCTTTTATAAATATATTTAAGTTGAATTTTGAAGTTATGGGTAAATTTGTCTTACAACCATTATCGACAGTGTCATCGTATTCAATTGCTAAAATAGACCCATTATTGGCCATAAGATTCCACATAGGTACAATTCTACTGATTTTGTTGATTGTTTGAATGAGGTTAAGGGTGTTGATTCTGGCCAATATCCTTCTTTTGATGCATTCAGTTGTGATTCTATTACAGGGCTTGTTTTAGCCTTGTTTGGTGATTATTAATCACATTTGATTTTGTTGTTCGTGATTCAAGCAACTTTGGTGCCCAAGATGTTTCTTTGAATTTTGTTAATACTCAGTTATTGAGTTTTGCCTTAGTTAGGGTAGTAGAAGTGAAGAATATTTTCAGTTAAAATTGTTAATGGAGAGGTTCGTTTATATTTTTCATTGAAGAGCCCAAGTCTAATCCTTGAAGTGAAAATTGTCTCCAGGTAGATAATTTTTTTAAGTTTTGTTCATTATGTAGCAGTCGCGTCAAGGTGGAGATTGTTAGAATTTGAATATAACCCAAATTCTTTGTTAGAGATAATTGAGAATTCTAATTAAAGTGCACATTAATCAGAATTCTATTTGGAATACTTTTGAAATCTTATTCGAAATCTATTCGATAAATTCTAGTTCAAGTTCTATATGGAAGCCCTATTGTTAGTTGGAATTTGTTAGAATTAAAGGGATTAAGATAAATAAACTTTTGGGCATTCTATTTCATCTACAATTCTATTTATGAGGTTTGGATTATTCCCTATATATACTTAGCCATTCTCTACAATTTAGTTGGGTTGTTTAACCTCATTATAAATTAGACAAATTATAAACACAAAGTTATTGTATTCTATCTCTATATTATAATAAAATCTTCATTTTTCGCAAATTATTTTTTCTTGTGTTATTGTGATCAATTACTCTATATTGTGGCTATAATCTCTTATTTTCTCAAACAACTTGGTATTGGATTAATTTGGTATCATTTTCAACTATTCGTAACAAACTAGTTTTAGACTTGATCCGAATTATAACAAGTGGTATTAGAAAACTGTTCTGCTTTCAGTAAAGTGATTTCAAATCTGGTCCAAATTATAACAATTTTAATATTAGAATGTGTGAAAGAAATGAGTTTTGAAAAATGAAGTTCGAACAGCGATTATATTTTATGAAATTGCTTGATTTGTTTCGAGTCTTGTAACAATATTATTTAAATCAGTCAAAAATTTATTGCTTTTATAAGAGGACAAAAAAAATCAATGCTACATGAATATGGTTTTGTTCTTGTGGGGACCTCACAAGTAAAAAGTCCGGAGCATAGATATTTCCTCAAAATCATTTTCAGTCGATTCATGTGTGTATATATATATATATATATGTGTGTGTGTGTGTGTGTGTGTGTTTGTTATTTTTTTTTAAATTTTTAACTGCACATTCTTTACAAAAAGAGAGAAAAAGAAAAAAAAAAAGTAACTTGTTTTCCAAACAATACTAAGCCAATGTTTGTTTCCGCTATAAAAGTTAATTAAATTTTGAGTTCAATTCAATAATTAATTTTAGTCACATTTCATTAACTGTTATCATAATATTCTAAAAACTTGATTTTTATTTAAAGCAAACAAGGCTAAATATGCATAACTGAATGAAACCAAACATAATCAACTTACTTTCTTCTTTTAAGTAATTGCCTTATTTGATTTTTATTCTTCTAAAAATTCATTTTCAACCACACATTTTTCAGTAAAATAATTTTAAACATAAATTCAAAATTTTTCTTTAATTTTTAACCACACATTCTACATTAATTTACTATTTAAAATGCATTATTTCCACCCAAAATGGGAATCAAACAAATAATTTTTTATATAACTAATTAAAAATTCATAAATAAAATAAAACTCTCAACACTCTGATATTATTATGGTGCAGAAATGCTGGCACAAATGAACACCTCTAATGGCATATCCCTTCATTTCTCTTCTACATTATTTCTCCCACCACCTCAGCCGCCGCTGCCCCAAGTGTTCACCACCAGAAAACCCTTATCCAATTACCGTTTTCTCCTCGAATTGCGGCCGGTTTTTTGCAGGTCCCGGCGGTGGGACTCCAATGCAGAGTCCTTGAGAAACTTCAACTTCGAATATAATGATGACGATGATGACAATGACGAAGAATTGGAGCAATGGACTGAGGTTGTTGAAGATTATATTGATAGTATATGGATTATTAAGGTGACTCTTCTCTCTTTATTATTGTATTTTACTTTACAGTTCAGTGGTTTGGATTAAGAGGAATTTTGTTTGTTTCACCATTTAAATTGGAAACCCAATATAATAAAAGTTCAAACAGCAATTTCATTAGTTCAAAAGCTCAGACGTTAAGAGTAAAATTCACTTCTAAAACAATAATCAACATATAGGGATGGGCTTGCCTGCCTTTTTGTTCCTCGAAATTCTAAGATTTGTGGTACTCTTTTTTATTTTACTACAGTAGTCTTTGTAATTGATATCAAATTTCTGTTAAATTTCCAATTTTTGTTGGAAATATGAACAATTGGTGAACTATTCTATTGGGTTATGTTTGTAATATTTGTTTTATTGGTTTTAAATTCAAGGAATTTAGTTGAAACTTATCAAGTACGAGAACTTTACCAAATTGCTCAAACATTATCTTGATATTTGATTTTATTATGATTTCCATTTATAGAGTGAGTTGGTTAAGCATATCTCAAGTTGGCACCAAATTGCATCAGCTTTGGTACGCAAATATTAATTTGATTCCCGATAAAATCTGCATTGAATCCCTTACAAATTTAATATTAGCATGTAACTCGAGCAATTTTCGTGGTTCGAACAAACCTAAAGTTGTTCAGAGACATGTCAATGAAATATGAGATTGTGGGGTTGACAGGATATATCTCTCAATCTCTGGTTTTTGTGTCATCTTAGTTTCTTAATTGGATCTGAGGCAAAGAATAAAAATCTGTCATAGTGTGAAAATTTTATGCTGTGATGGAATTCTAGACAATGTACATGTGGCCCGGAAAGATCAAGTAAACTTTAGTCTTTCGATAAAACTGTTAAACTTGAAAATCGCCTGATTAATTTGTTGTAGTCATGTAGGTTTGTATCTTTGAAGTGTTTCTTGACGGGGTTGATCTTACGGTTTGCTTACTATACATCGTCTTTTTTTGCACTTACCTTTGGATAACAAGTAAAAAATCCAAAATATTATGATTTAGAGGGCCGTGTTCCAATTTCCTAAAGCAGATTAGTCTTGAGTTCATATCTTCAAAGCCAAGCCTTTTGCCAGTGCAGGTTTTCAGATCGTTTGGTTGGTTGCTTCCGTTTGTTATCTTGTCTTTGCTTCTAGCAACAGATTCAAAAGCTTTTCTTATGGCATTAGCACTCCCTATTGGGCAGTCCACTCTTTCCTTTGTGTTCCAAAGGTTATGGGATCGAGGTAAAAACAAACGAAAGCGCAGAACCAAGATTAAAAAAAGATCACGCCCTCGCACTTCAAGGACTGTTAAATTGAACAAAGAATGGGGTGAAAGCCAAGAGGAAACAAAGAAAAAGACAGGATATCAACCTTGGATTCCAAGAAATGATGTTTCAAATAAAAGCAGTGATGAGGATGCATACAGTTTTGGTGGATGGGATGAGCTAGATAGAGGAGAGGACTTGAAAGAATCTTCTAGAAGACGGGGGGATCGAACAGCAACTAGATCACAGGGGATGTTTACTGAGAAGGGGAAGTCGAGTCAAAGTGAAATGCCTTTATTACTCAGATTACTGATTGCAGTTTTCCCATTTTTGGGTTCATTCACAAAGATGCTATAGTTTTCTCACATATTATATATAGAGCAATATGCTTTGATCTGGTCTCAAATCTTGGATTCATTATTCTGTCTACCTACAAGGATAAAATCATAGATACCAATGAAATCTAGTTAGTTGAGCTAAAGCGTACACAAAATAACATCAAAATACAGGAATTTTATATCTATCTGAAATCTTATAAGAGTTAAGCCCCTTGTACAAGGGAGATTGCTAGGGAGATAGGTGGTGCCTATGCATTGGCTAGGATAAAACTGTTTTTTGTCCGAAGTCCAATGAATGTGAGCCACATGTCCCTCTGTACATTTAGCAGGGTTGATCTTATAAAGAGTATGACACCTGTTTCCCCATAGCAAGGTACAGCTCTAATGTGACATTGATTCAATGTACTCCACTCAAAAATTACATTCATATTACTCTCTCTTTATATAATTCCAATAATCAACCTAAGGATCCGTTTAATTATAAGAATGAAAATTGGGTGGAAAGAAAACGAATCCTAGGAAATTGAATTGCCTAAAGCTTGTTTAATTGGAAATTGTCAATTAAATGTATTTCATTGATATAATTTTTTATGTGAATCTGGTTAGCAAGATCACTAACGAACCCACAAAAGATTGTTGAACCCAAGGAAAGCGAAGAATTAACCCTGGTTTATGGATTTGAATTCCAAGATAAGAAACCAAGCAACCCCACAATAACAGTAATATGAAGGGCCTCTTGATCACGCAACCAAAAACTCACACCCAGATTTGAACGCCACAAGGAAGCACCTTGATAAATTCGAAAATTGTTCTAAGAATAACAAATGTAGGAAAGTAAGAATTGCCTCTCAAATTAATTCTCAACAATAATGTCAAAGTTATTCTTACAATTAATATGAGAAAGTATTTATACCCACTCTAAAAATATTGTCTTGCATGGAAATTATGCTTCAAATACCGAAAAATAATAATTAGAATCAAATTTTATGGAAACTAGAAAAGTTGCCTAAATTTGAAAACGCGTTCCAAATTTTGTACTATGCGACCGCATAGTGTATTGGCACACGGTTGCATAGCTCAACCGAACTACCACCGCCAAATGCCCGCCTCCATACATGCGATCGCATGACCTGAAGAACCATGCGGTCGCATAGTTCTTCCCAACAGCCTGTCCTTCGTCCGCTTGTAATGTGTTGAACCAATGGACTTCGGTTCTCGACCCTAACATGGAACTTGCCCCATTTTGCGCCTCGATCAATTCCTTGTCAATTGTTGATTGAACAAGTAGTGTCATTGCTTGATTTACCGGCTTTTCCCTTGAACTTGTCATCGGCCCACCTTCAATAATCAACGGGTCTCGTCTTGGGCTCGTCTTGGTTGGGCTCGACTTTTGGATCACATCAATTTTCCACCTGCAAAATATTAAAATTTTGAATCTTTTGGTATTCATTTGACTTTGTTTTTCATTGAAATTGTCAATTTAAGGGATAGAATTTGTTACAATTGAGGATAAAATTTGTTTCAATGGCCAAAAAATAAAAAATAAAAATAATAATAACTTGGAAAACCAAAAACCACCAAATTCATGGGAAAACCAATTTCTCAAGAAGGTGAAAAAAGGGGGTCACGTGGGATGTTGACAAGAAAACCAATTGCCAAAAAAATTTGGCCAATCAAACATGTTAAAAGGTGGAAAATGAATTTTAATTTTCTACTTCCATGGAAAATTTGTGCAATCAAATAGGGCTAATTCTAATTTAAAAATAACAAAAGGG